GGGGCACCCAGGGGTGCTGCCTTTGGGCACGGCCGGGGTCGGTAGGTGTCCGGTGGTCCCGGGCGGGAGGCGGCGGAGAGGCTGGCACGGCGCCGGCGGCGGGGCCGAGTCCGGAGCCCGGCCAGCGCTGACTGCGGCCCGTTCCCGTTCCCGTTCCCGTTCCCGCTCCCGGCTGCAGTGGGAAGGCAGGGCGGCTGCTCTGGCCGCAGCTCCTCTCGGCCCTGTGGCGGCCCGGTCTGGTTGGGTGACCCCCACGGTGTTCCCCAGTCCCACAGCGACAGGGACGGAGGGGTACAAGGGTGTCTGCACAGCCACGTGGATCTTGGCTTCCTAAACGCTTCAGATTTTGGATTCTTTCTGGAGATGGGGGGGGATTTCATTTCCAGAAGGGGTTGCAGAGGCCGACCCCATGCTCCCTGTCCTCCTGGGTGCTGGTTCAGGACAAGAGTCCCCAAAGCCTCCAGGGACACACATGGTTCCACACAGAGTGGGTGCTGAGCCCTCCTGGGGAGGGCAAAACCCAGAGCAGACCCACCAGTCAGCCCTGAGAGGAAGCCCTGGGTGGACTGGGGGTGTCAGGGGACACCCCAGGGAAGCAGCCAGTGGGGTCCCGCCTGCTCGGGGGTGTCTCCTCACAGGGACATTCAGCGTGGCCAGGGAATCCTGTTGATATCACTCGTCCCTGTCACCAGCCTCCTAGCCCCATTCCCAGGTCCCGCCAGGGGCATGAGGGGTAGTAGAGGGTGCTGCACCCTCTACTGCACCCCCCAAAACTTCCCAGGAGAGTCTGTACTTGGTGTCCTGGGTGGAGGGAACGCTATGAAGACAAGGACAAACCCTTGCATGCAGTGGGAGAGGGTGGGTGCTGCCTAGACTGGGCTTTACTGGGAGTGTGGGGCCAAACCCAGCTCTTCCCCCCAGCTCCCCTTCGTGTTCTCACAGAGCTGCTCAGGGTGGGGGGCACCCAGGAGTCCCAACCCTCCCATTGCTCCACTCTCACTTCATCCCAGTACGGCACTGGGGGGTGCTGGTGGGCACCCAGTGTTGCCAGTCCCCTGCTCCCAGCACCCAAGGGTCCCCAGGGGGAGGCCCATGGGTACCACCACCTCCAAAACTCTGGTGGCTCCTGTGTCCCTCGTGGAGCAGGACATGATGCCCATGCAGCCCTCCTTCCTGGGATTCCTCCAGCACCATCAGGTGCCACAATGCCTGTGGGGCCTCCCCTGCACCCATGAAAGCCAGGGATGGGGGGACACAGCTGGGAACACCCATATCACCTCCAGCAGCACTCTAGCCCAGCCACAGGCTGATGGCCTCTTTCTGAGCCTCCTCCTTGGGGACAGGTACCCTGGGGGTGACACTGGGGTGGCACCACATCTGGCACAGGCCCTGTGCATGGCCCCATGCAGGGCTAGTGCTGGCCATGCAGTGGTGGCCAGCACCACTCTGAAGGGCAGTATTTCCAGGGGGCACTGGCAGCACCAGTTTGCAGTAAGTGTCCCTTAGGGATGGGCACACAGGATGGCAAAGGAGAAATGGGGAATGGAGGGGCTGTGGCAGGCAATGCCAGGCAGGATGGGGACCTCGGGGGTCCCCCAGGAGCACAGAGGAAGGGAAGGGCCCCCCGGCCCTGCCCTTGGCTTTGTTTCACACTTAAGAGGCTCTAATTAAAACCAGGCACAAAGGCCCTGGCTGGCGGCAGGCACGAGGTGCCAGCAGAGGACAGGGGTCTGTCACCAAGGGAACAGCAGTGACTTGGGGTCCTGGGCATGGGCCTCTGCAAGCCTGGGCATGAGTGGGCACAGGAGTGCTCACACGCACAGACACACAGACAGACACAGACACACAGACACACAGACGTGTGCTCCCTGCCCTGTGGGCTAGGGAGAGAAGTGCTCAGGCCTGGTTTGTACTGGTCTGAACTGGCCTGATGGTCCGCAGTGGCTCAATGTGTGGGAGGGGTCTGTGAGCAGCACTGCCCAGGGGGGCTGCGGGCAGAGATGAGCCCTGGGCTGTTTGTGGGGTGAGTCAAGCCCTGGGGTGCCCCTGCCCTGGGGTCAGCTTGGTTGGCAGCGGGCACAGCTTTAGTCAAGGACCACAGAGGGTCCCCTGCTGGGATCGGGGGGCTGGTGGGTGACCCCGAGATTGGCTGTGACGAGCTGGGGAATGAGCCCCCCCACACAGTATGGGTCTGCCTGCCTGGATCCCTCGGGGTGGTGAGACCCCAAAGCTGCAGCGTCCCCCAAAGCCATCCCTGGTGCCGACAGGGCACGAAGCCCACCGGGGCAGGCGCGGGGAAAGTGGCTTAAGCACACCTTGACCTTGCTGGCGGGGGAGGATCTCCTCAGCTTGTCCGACACATCTCCTGCCAGCGCCGGCATTGAGAGCGCGCGAGCCCGCGCGCGGAGGAGCCGGCATGAAAAGGCAGCTTAGGCATCTCCTGCTGCGAGAGATGGATTAGGGGCTTCGGGGAGGCCGGGGGACAGCCAGCGCCACAGCCACCGGGCCGCGATGGCCGCGTGCCGGCGGCCAGGCCGCGGGGCCAGGGTGGGCACGGTGGGCACACAGCCACTGCCCCATGGCACCGTCCTGCTGGGACACTGGGGCAGAGGGATGGGACCCTGGGGGGAGAAAAGCGCGTGTGTGGAAAACGCCAAGGGCTGTCCCGGCAGGGAGGGGACACAGGGGCTGGCAGCCCCAGCCCCGCTGTGGGCCCCCCTGGCTGGCAGCAGCTGTCACTGTCAGGGCTCGGGTATTTTTAGAGCCGCCCTAGACCGCAGTGACCATTTCTGCCCACGGAGTGCATGGGATCGGGGCAGGGAGGGGAGGGGGGAAATGGGCACAAATTTCCCTTTTTGCTCTGCTTTGGGGTTGGAAGTGCCCTTTAAGTCCCCAGGGAAGCACCTGGAGCTGGCAATGGTCCCCATGGGGCACAGGGACCCCATACTGGTGGGGTGGGCATGGTCTAACCATCTCAGCTCTGCCCCCATGCTGGGTTGGGGTCTGTGTTCCCAGGGCAGTGACAGTGATGTCCCCACAGGGACAGCCTGGACCCCTGGAGGTCCCCTAGGAACTGTTCCAGGTCTGTGGGGTGGCCCCTGTAGTGGAAATGCAGGCAGGATGGGGTGCCCCTCTGGCCATCCCTCCCTCTCCCAGGAACAGCTGTGCCCTCAGCCGGGGGCAGGGGACCTGCCAGCACTGGGCATGTGACAGGAGGTGATAGAGCTGCTATTTATACCCTCCTGTGTCAGGGCTGGGTGTGGGGACCCAGTGAGCCCATGCCACTGACCCATGATGACTCTCAGGGTTCCCTGAGTGCCCGTTTGTCCCCCAGCACCAACCAAAACCCCCTGTAGGGAGGGGTGGGCTCAGTATGACCAGAAGTGTCACACTCCATAGTGTCACACAGCCATTCCAACTGTCCCCAGCCCACTGGGGACACAGAGTCACGTCTGTGCCCAGTGGGGGCACAGAGTTGACACAGGGACATGGAACTGTCCCTATGCCCAATGGGGACAGAGTTGTCCCCATTGTGAACACTGAGCTGTCCCCGTGTCTGACAGTGCATGAAGTTGTTCCCAACAAGGACACTGAGTTGTCCCTGTGCCCAGTGGGACACAAAGCTGTCCCTGTGCCAGTCCCTCCGGCCTAGAGGGTACCAGAGGGGGGCAGATGTGTCCCCCAAATGCCACAGGTCCTGGGGAGCACACATCCCCAGAGGCCCTTGGCACAGGGAGATGCCAGGTGGGGAGGCATTCATTACCGGCCTCCCTCCTGTTCCTGTGGCAGCAGGGCAGGGGAGCACAGCCCAGAGAGGGGTCCCCAGAGAAGAGGGGCCCCCCAGAGAAGAGGAGCCCTGGTGAATGCAGCACAGGCTCCTGGTCCTGAGGGGCCTCTGCTCATGCTGGGCTCTGGGGTGCCTTGGCCTGGGGACACTGTGCCCCTTGAGCACCTCAGGCAGAGAAGCCCAGGGACTCAGCTCAGCCCTTTGGCACCAAGTGACACAGGCAGGGCTGAGAAGCCTTGGGCAGCACTGTGGGCCCCAGGACCACCCCAGCACCACCCCTGCTGTGAGCTCAGCACCCCTGGAGTGCCAGGTTCCCAAAGCCCAGGCAGGCAGAGCTGGGTTCCCCCCACACATGGGTGAGGATGAGCACCAGCTTTGTGCACCCAGTGAGAAGGGGCAAAAGGACACCAGCACAGCTGGGTCCTGCCAGGGGAGCTGCTACCCTCCTCAGGGGTCCCCACATTCCCTGTTCCAGGTTCATCCCACCTGGCTTGACACAGCCCCATCTCTTTGCAGGGCCTTGTCTGGCTCAGCACCCCATGGTGGGTGGGGGGGAGGGGGTCCAGGGGGTGGCTGTGCATCCCAGCGACCACCTGGGTGGGTCAAGAGCCCCCTGTTGTGGGCACAGCCCCTGCACTGGAGCCAAGGGTGCCCACCCAGGACCCACGGGTGGGCTGGGATGCAGGACATTTGACTGAGTCACCCACAGGGCTGTCCCACATGGTGTGGTTGGGCTCCCTCGGCAGGGGTCCCAGGTCCAGTCCTGCCCATGTGGACCTACCTGGGTGCTTTGGGAGGATAAGGAGGGGACCACAGATCTGACATGGGCCACTGGGATTTTTGAGGGGAGTTGAGTAAAGCAGACAGGCAGAGCATCAGCAGGACGTTCTCAGGGCAATGAGGAGCAAATTGGAGCATGTTTCTGCCCAGCAAGAAATGGACAGAAACATGGCCACTCTGCAATGCAGAAGTCCCAGCTCACAGCCACCAAGCCCTTCTCAGCACACAGGGCTGGCTGGTTCCAGGACAGAGCTAAGATTAGAATCATAGGATATTAGGGGTAGGGATGGACCTTAAAACCATCTAGTCCCACCCCCAGGCTGCTCAAGGCCTTACCCAACCCGGGATTGAACACTGCCAGGGTTGGGGCATCCAGCACCTCCCTGTACTGGGAGGTTTTTATTTCCAGGATATCCTGGGGGAATTCCTGCAGGGCTGCTGTGGTGGGGCAGAAGGCTGAGTACAGCATTCCCTCCTAGCAAGTGAGAGGCACATGGTCCACACAGGAGTTCTGGCAGCACAGGCCAGCCTGGCTCACCGGAGGAACAAATCGGGTCTGGAGCTACCCCGTGGAGCACAAAGAACAAGCAGTACTTCAGGACTCACTGCACCGCTGTGCAGGGCACAGGTGTCCCCTCAGGGACAGCTCTGGTGGCACATGGAGGCTCAGAGAACACACTGCAGGCAGCCCCGATCCCGAGCTCCTCTCCCTCACCCGGCTCTGACAGGCAGCAGGGGGCAGCAGGGCCCGGGCAGAGAGGCTGCTGCAGAGAGAGGGAACGCAATGAATGAATGGAGAGACAGATGGGATCTGTTTTTCCTGCTGTCAGGGCAGGCGGAGGGCCGGCGACACACGGCACGGTGCTCAGGGACAGCTGGTGACAGCTGTGCTGGGGGATGGAGAAGCAGAGACCTCTGCAGACCCAGACCCAAATCCTAGACCCAGATCTCAAACCTAGACCCAGATCCAGACTCCAAATCCAACCCTTGCCTACAAATCCAGACCCAGACCTAGACCCCATCCTCTGACGCCAGCCCAGCCAAGGCCCCAAGTCCCCAGTCCTGGTCCCCAAGTCTAGACCCAGATCTAGATCCCAGACCCGACCCCGATCCCAAAATCAGACCCAGACTCCAGACCCTAACCTAGCACCCGCCCCCAGCCCCCGGTACTGTCCGCGGCACTGCTGCTGTGGCACTGCAGAGGGCACGGCTGCGGCTGCACGAGCCCGGCACACACTTCCCACTCAGGGCCGAGGAGAGGCCCTCGCAGCCCGGCCGGAGGGCTGCGGCAGCACCGGGCATACGAGCACGGGGGCTCTGTCGGGCCCTGGGCTGCACCGCGGGGCAGGCTCTGAGCGCCGCGATCCGCTCAGGATTTGTGCTGGGCACCGCCTCAGGGCTGGGTGAGATTTCTGTGATCCCCGTCGGGGCTCACCCGAGCCCGGACCGCTCCCAGCGCCGAGGGGCGCCGGGCTGCCCTCAGCCGCCCCCCCTGCGGGCCCCACCAAACTGCCTCTGCGCATGCGCCGCCCCAGCAGGCGGCACGGCCCGCTGCGCACATCGGGGGCGGTAGCGAGCCCGCGATTCTATTGGCTCACACGACCATCACTCAATCGACTGGAGCAGTCCCATTGGCTCGGGCTGGGAGGGCGGGAAGGCTGAAGTGGAGCTCGCTCTCTCCGTGTCGAGCCCTCGCCGTGTGACGCCTTTACACATGCGCGTTGCAGCGGGTGGGAAACGGTGCCCAGCGCTGCGCTGTAGCTCGCGCCCTAATTGGCTGCTAGGCACCCGCGTGCGTTACTCGCTCCCTCATTGGTTGTCCGGCGCCCGCGTGCCGCCGTTCGCGCCCCCATTGGCCGTCGGGGCGTGCATGCGCGGTGCCATCTGCAGTCAGACGCGCAGCAAGGCTCGGGGGGACGTGATCTGCCGCGGCAGAGCCCTGAGGGCGCGGCCGGCCGTGGGAGCCGTTTCCGCCCCCTCGGTGTGCCGACCCCCGGCGTGCCGCTGTTTCCGGGCCGGTCCTGCCGCCGCCGCCGCCCCGCCGGGTCCCGCTGCAGCAGCCACTCCACTCCGCGCGTTGGCGCTGCCGTGAGGGACCCCCGTCGTTGCAGATCACGTGACTTGCGTTGCTGCGCACGTGACCTGTGGGCAGCGCATGCGTGTTGCGGCGGGGGCGGTGCAGGCGGGCGGCGCTGAGGGCGGAGGCGGCGGCGGCCGGAGCGGGGCCGGGCCGGGCTGGGCCGGCGCGAAATGGCGGACAGGTTCTCCCGCTTCAACGAGGACAGGGACTTCCAGGTACTTCCCTCGCGGCGCCCCGCGCGGCCGCGGCCCCTCGGGCTGGGCTCCGCCGCCTTCTCCCCACCCCCCTACCGGGGCTTTGTGTGCGGGCCCGGCGCTGCGCCGCGGCGGGGAGCGGCACAGAGGGGAACGTGGGGGGTCGGGGCCGGCTGTCAACATGACCCGCGGCTGGGGAGAGCTGCCCGGGCACGGAGGGCAGCGGGTGGCGTGTTGTGACGGCGGTGGCGAGGGGCCGACCCCGCGGAGGGACCGGCAGGGGAAGACGGTGAGGGGATCAACCCTCCTCCAGTGATGGGACCGACCACCCCCCGTGAGGGAACCAGCCCCTCGATGAGGGGAATCACCCACCCGCGGGGAGGGCTCGGATCACTGCCCCCGAGACCCGCACCGCGCCGTCCGAACATCTGCCAGCGACCCCCTTCTCTGGGGAAAAAAGGTCTCTTCCTTCTCACACCCGGCCCCCTCGCCAAAACATCAGTATTTCAACGTAATTAACGCCACTGATGCTGTTTGAAAGGGGCTTTAAATAAACAACGGGGAAATTAATGTTGACTCATTAAGCTCGAACAATGACATGTTGTTCTCTGACTTCAGCCTGAGAGAGTCTCGGGGTTGGAAGGGAAAACAAAAGGAGCGAGGATAACGCTGCTCGAGGAGAGTGGTGGATGAGCTGTTGTGTGGGTCCTTGTTTCGGGAGCCTGCCGTTGGAATGGTGCTGTTCATCCTCACTCGGGCCTTTCACCCAAAGACCTGGGAGGGTTTTTATAACGTGGAGCTTGCGTAATTCTGCTTCATCTGGCATTAAGGTGCAGTCTTGGAAGCAGTCAGGACATCCAGGAGTGACTAATTTATGTTGTTTCTGGATGTTTTAAGGGGTGCATGCTTCAAAAATTGTTACTAAACTGTGGTAGAAACACACAAGAAAATAAATACGAGTATGGTTGTGTGCAGTGTTGGCATCGCTTGCTCTGAGGATGGAGGTTTGGCTCCTGCCACAGACCCAAACGTGGGCTCGTTTGCATCCTTCATTTCCTTCAGTGAAGAAAGGAGCCATAATTAACACTGGAATAGTTTGATTTGGCTTTGAAGTTTGTGTTTCAGGAAGTGAAGCAAGCCAGATCTTGGGCTTGAAAACACATTTCTTGTAGTCCTTTGGTAAGGGAGAGATGGAGAACCAAAACCGAGTTGGGTACTGCGGCTGTGCCCAGGGAACAGGTGAGCTCTGCAGTCGTGTCCACATTTGCCTTTGGGTGTCCTTGTTCCTGTCCCTTTGTGGGGAAACCCCATGGCAAGAAAAATAATTATAGTGGCAAAACCTGTTACTGTGTCGTGGCTCTGGACACACAGGGGGAATGTGTGGTGATGTCAGGAGGAAACTCAGCTCCATTACCTGATCCCAAGATCTTGGAAGGTGCTGAGTGTGCCTAGGGACAATAATGAAGTCACAACCCTGTGTCCTCTTGACTTTAAAAAAGGACACTGTTCTAAATTGGGATTTATCTGTGCTAAATACCAGGCTTTCCTTGTCCTTCCCATAGACTAGAGCAAAAAATAAAATGATGGGGTTTGGTTTTATGGAAGGGTCACTGCTCTGTTCTTCCCTGCCTGAAAATATGCCAGGGAGAAGAGAGACATTTTATCTTGTGTTAAAGCTTCCTGTGAGGGAAAAGTGGAATCATTCCCCTGGGAGGAGCAGTTTGGAGCTGGTTGAGGCTGCAGAGGACTGAAGGTGAAAACAGTGAGCTGTGGAAAAGATGATCTGAGGGGGACTGGGACAGGGTCACGCTGAATTTTGGGAGCTCAGGGGCCTGTGCATCTACCCCTGACAGCTGGGCAGTCTAACAGGTTTTTCCAAAGTATATTGATGGAGGAAAGCTTTTTGCTGAAGAAGAAGAAGAAGGAAAAATAAGGTTCAAAGTCACTTTCAGAGAAGACTTTTCAGTTTTCTTCTCTGTATTGAGAGAGAGATTGCTTGAGCTGTAACATGGGTGTGGAATACAGGAAATGCTTGCTGTGCTGGGTATTTGCAGGGCTGCTGTGGCCATAGGTAAAAATACACTTGTGTGTGCCTCCATAGAAAATCCTGGTCTTCAAATATAGCAAAACCCGTTGGTGTTAGGGATGCTCTTTTCACACAGTTGTAGTTCTTTGGCAGGTGAAATTTCTGTCCTTGGAGCAGGTGTGACTCTAGATGTGATCCTGTGTCCCTGCCAGGCTGGTGAGTCCCAGGGAGCATGGCCAGAGGGAGACAGGCTCTAAAATTACACAGCTTGATCAGGGATGGATGCAGTGTGGGGAGGCTGCAGAGAGCTCTCCGGTTTTGTTCTGGGGTGATTTACTTCTGATCTCGAAGTGAAAGGCTGTGTAGCAGTTTGGAGAGAGGGAGAGAAACAAAAGGTTAGGAGTAAAGAGTATAGGTCAAAGGAACCTTTTAGCTGTTTGGAAGAAAGGCACATATCTTGGGATTAGTGATGTGGCTAATGAAAGTCACTGGATGAAAAAAAAAAAAGCATTTCAGAGTTCTCATTATTATCAGCTGCCTTTCTGGAGAGAAGCTGGAAAGAGTCTGGGTTGGGAGAATCAGTTTGGCAAGAGTGCAAGTTGAGCACTGTAGGCAGGAGAGAGCTGGCAGTTCAGGGTTAGCAGAGGTGAGCCTCGAGTTTCTGAGCTTCTGATATGCTGGAGAAAAGTGGATTAAAGGTGAGAGCTGCTGGGAGCTGTTCTTCCCTCCCCTGTGCCTGACTGAAGAAAGATCAGTGCTATCAGGGGAGGCTGGAATGGAAGCATACAGCACTGCAGGAAAATCAGGAAGGAAGGACCTAAATCGGCTGAGAAAAAGATGTCCATGGTCTGCAGTGCCTGGAAAGGTGCTCAGGGGAGAAGGGTTCTGCTGGATTGGGCAGAGGGATCAGCTGAGAACTGGAGAGATGAGTGGGGGATCTTCCCATAGCTGCAGCCACAGTGATGTGGTGGGCATGAAGAGAGCTGCAGAGGGAGTGATGCTCCTCCCAGGGAGTTCTAGGGAAAAGAGTGGCTTGTGTAAGGATAAGAAAGCATATATCCATAAGGATGAAGGTCATGGTGTGGAAGGAGAGGAGAAAGATTGTATACCTGAAATTGTAGCAACTCCTCTCTGTGTTGGGTGGAAGGAACCTTGAAGCTGAAGGTGATTTGAAGCTGAAATTGCCAAAGGAGCAGGAATGGCACTGGAGGATATCACTGCAGTGAGCTGATTAGGCAGCCCTTGGGTTTTTCCTCACAGGATTGTTGTGCTGTAGCTGTTCTCTGTAGCTTTAGAAGCCACACTAAAGGCTTAGATCCTCTTCCATTTTTGCTTTAAGCTCTGAAACTTTAGAGAAACTTGGAAAGCCCCTGGTTTTGAGTGTATTTTGCAGGTGCTGAACCTGAGGGCAGCTCCATAGAAAGGCCTTGAGTGTGCTCTGCCTGTCCTGGGGATTTTTCCCTTCCCAGGCCAGCACAGGGCTACGTTTGGGAGCCTTGGACAGGGAAATGGATGAGTGGAGGAGAAGGGATATCTCTGACCTTCCTTCTCTTGCTCTGCAATGGCAAGTGAAGTCTGGGGTGGCTCATCCAAATAAATCCCAACTTTTTTTCCATTTTCCATCCAAGAGAGGTGATTTTTGGGGTTCTGACAAGCTTAGCTCTTGGAGTGAAGGGCTGGGGAACCTGTCTGTCGCAGGCTCTGTCACTTGTGTGAGCCACTGTCCCCTGGACTTATGGTGGTTCCCATTTGTCTCTGCCAGGGAAGCCCATAACTGTGAGGGATTCTGAACAATAGCTGTAGATGATGCTAACAGAATATTGTAGGAGCATTAATGAAAGCTGTGTGAACATATGAAACTGCTGCGATAAGTAAATATATATTTTTAGTGTTATTTTAAAAGCATTTGCAATGATTTTATTCTTCAGATCAGGTATGCAATCTCAAAGAATAAATACCATGGATATCTCTCTCGCTGAAATCCAGTGGAGCTTCCACTTACTCCCAGATGTTGAGAAAATGTTTTCCTGCTGCATTTTTCTCCTTTTCATTGTTGAAGCAGAAATATTACCAGCCATATGTGTCTATGTGTACAATAATTTCCTCTTCCTACGTACATTGCACTTACTGGCATCATTAGCCAGACGGAACACAGGCTGTTCTGTCTCTTGTTTTTTGGTGTTGTGTAGTCTGTGTGATGGAATAACACTTCCACCCAGCAGGAAGAGCCATGCCTGGTTTTCCCTGCTGGGTGGAAGTGTGACCAGTCTGAATCTCAGCTCGGGTATGCCTGCTAATTCCAAGAAGATAGGTGTTTTTTTTCTTTCCCTCCACAAAGGATTTGAAGAGCTAAGCCAGCACATCGCTGTGCTTCTGGCCCTGCCTGCTTCCAGCAGGTTGAGCTGAGCGCTGCTGGCAGGGGGATTTTATGCTTTTTAATTGGCAGAATGTCAGGGATAAGTTCTGTTCCCAAGCAGCTTAGGCAGCGCTTTACTGGACAGCTGGGCCAGCAGTGAGGGGGTTTAGAATCCATCCTTAATGAGTGTGGCCATGGCTGCAGCTTCACTTCCCAGGTGCTGCCTAAGGGAAGTGCATTTGGTTTTCATGTCCTTCAGCAGGACCAGATGCTCGGGGTGATGTGGCACTGGGAGCTGATGCCTGTGCTCTGCCCTGCAGAGAGATAAAGAGGGTCATTTTCTCTGCCTGCCTTTACTAATTGGGAAAAGAAAAACTTAATGTGGGGGAACAAGGATTGGAATCTGCAAAATCTGTTACGCTGAGCTTTCAGCTGATCCAGGATCCTGGGGTGTGAGTTTGCCTTTGGCAGGAGTAGCTGCAGGCAGTCAGGAGGCAGCCTGTGCCTTTTCCTTGGAGTATTTTCCAACTGAAGAATTAATCTGAGATTTTAGAAGATCGGTTAGAATTGTTTTGAGATCTTAATTTATCATTTGATTCAGGTTATATTTCTGGTGTGGGCCCAGCACAGGAAGAATACAGCTCTTACCTCCTTGGCAGGACGTTCTGACCTTTCACTTGAGCAAAGCAGGAACAGCAGAACTGTGACTGATTTTTTTTTTTACCTCCCTGTGTGAGCGAGGAGGGGAGATGACTGGGGGAAAATGTGTTCTAAAGTAGATCAAGTAGTATTGGTTCCAGTTTTAGAACATCACAGTAGGGTCTGAGCTTCAGCGTGGATTTCTGGGATTCACATGGTGAGGTAATTTTATATAGACCTTTCCTGTCTTGGTTGTGCTTTCCCCCAGTCTGTGTTGTCCCTTCTCTCCTGCAGTGATGGTCTCCATTGCCGAGTTCCATTGAATGGGAAAGGAAACACTTTATCCTACAGTCCCACAAGCCATGGCTGAGCCACCTCAGCTTCTTCTGAGTCACCTTCTCTAAGACAAAACCCACCCCTCTACCCAGGCCCCTGCCATCCTCTGAGTGGGAATGTGGAGCTCATTGGACAAAAAGCACTGCTGCAGTTCTAGGGCAGCACTTCCTCAGTTGACAAAAGCTTTTCTCCTACCACATGGTTTTAAATCTTTAGTAATTCTTGCTACTTTCTCCCTTCAGGCAGCTCTATGGACAGTTAATGTGAGATTTTGGCCATTCACAGTTTCAAAGCCAGAAGTTAATGTTAGGATGATGGCTTTAAATATCCAGGTATCACTTAAGTTTCAGTTCCCATTTTGACCCAGTTCTGAGTCTAGGAGTCTGTGTTTGGCTGCATGATCTCTCTCTTGAAGACAACTGGTGATGGGGAACATTTTCCTTTGTAGATTGTTCTGGTAGTTTAGCCATTGA